AAAATATAGAAAAAAACAAAAAAAAAAAAAAACCCAAAAAACCTCCAGAGGAGCATGATCTATGAGTCAGCACCACACCACCCACGGATCAGAACCACACCATCCACGGATCAGAACCACACCATCCACGGATGAGAGTCACATCATCTGTGGTTCAGAGCCACACCATCCACGGATCAGAGCCACACCATCCATGGTTCAGAGCCACACCATCCACGGATCAGAGCCACACCATCCACGGATCAGAGCCACACCATCCATGGATCAGAGCCACACCATCCATGGTTCAGAGCCACACCATCCACGGATCAGAGTCACACCATCCACGGATCAGAGCCACACCATCCATGGATCAGAGCCACACCATCCGTGCAGATCAGAGCCACACCATCCATAGATCAGTCACACCATCCACGGATCAGAGTCACACCATCCACGGATGAGAGTCACACCATCCACGGATCAGAGCCACACCATCCACAGATCAAAGCCACACCATCTATGGATCAGAGTCACATCATCTGTGGATCAGAGTCACATCATCTATGGATTAAACCTCCAGAGCTACATTTATATGGATATAACATTTGACAAATATGACAATAACATACAAAAACAGGTATATGCCATACATAACACATAGATGACATATTGTGTGTATGCAACATACATATACACACAACTTAGATGACATTAACGCTTATTATATATATATATAAAATACTTCTATGACTTTTAGCAACTTACTTTCACTAAAAACTCTACTTTTGTAATTTAATCATGTTAACACACCTAGATCTAGTTCATTTTAGCAAGAATTTAGTTTTCTACTCTACAGCTCAACTTCAGTTTGCCGATATAGCTTGCTACTTGTAGATAAAGACCCCTTCCAGCCATTGCGTTACATCAAACAATGCTGCAGTGGACATCCTGGCACATGTCCCCACCACACATGTCCAGGAATGGTTCCAGATCAGGGAGACAGCATATTGGATCTTAAACCAAATATGTTTCTATAAATAAAGTTTTACTGGCACTTGGACACACTCATATGCTTATGTATTATCCAGAACTACTCCCATCCCCCAACAGTTGGGTTGAATAATGTCAACAGAGATTGAATGGTGCACAATGTCTAAAGTAGTTCCTCTGGGGCCCTTTGCAGGGAAAGCTCGCCAAGCCTGTTCCAGATTATATAACCAGGGGTCAAGCAGCTGGGTGGTTGACCACGTTCACCTTCAGCCTGTCTGGGTACTGTCAGTTACCTCTTCAAGGTTTCCATTCCCTAATATTAGGGAGGCTGCATATATTTTCAAATTCTCACCTCAATACTCAACAGTAGGGTAATGGTTAGATAAAGGTTTTCATTCTATAACTTGAGCCCCCTTCTGTCAGATGTTACTGCCATGAGGGGAACGCTATGGTGCTGTTGTCCTTCATGGTGCTGGGAGCAGATTCTGACTCACAAAGGCCTGCTGCGTGGGGTTCGGAGAGTAATGTTCAAGGGAACAGACAGTAGGTCTTGTCTTGTGTGGAGCCACTGGTGGGTTCAGACCATCAATCTCTCAGCAGCCGAAGGCTTACCCACCGCACTGCCAGGGCTCCTTGATGGTGGCCCCAACAGGCAGAAATCCAAGACTATCTGTAAAGTTTTTAAAAGCGTGGGAGAGTTTGAGATATGATGAACAGATGCTGTATTTCACTCTTCATCAGAACTCCCAACAAACTTGCTCTGCCAAGCGGCATGCAAAGCACCCCAGTGGCCCCCTGAGGCCAGCTCTCTGCTCTCAGGAGGCAAAAATACCTTTTACAGGTTAGAGACAAGTGGTGCAGTGGCAACTGTGTTTTTTGGAAAAGGAATGCTTGAAATTTGATCCAAATGTCAACAACTGGATTACTCAGGATTACAAGTGATTTTTATTTCCTCTCTATTTCAACAATCTCCCAAGTTTCCTCATTGGTCAACACTTTGCTAACTGAAAAGAGAGTGAACTGGGTGCTAGAACCAGGGTTAGGATACGGTGACATCTGTCACCAGGAAGATGTCACCGGGACGATCCCTGCGGGCCATCTTCTCTGGGGACTCCAGATAAGAGGCAGGAGGGGGAGGACAGGCAGTGCTCTGCGTGCTCTGCTCCCTGAGTCACCAGGTCTCGGGAGGAGACCTCCCTGCACCACACTCTCCTCTGCCTGGTAGGAGTAAGGCCTCCTCTACCTTTAGGATAATTCATACTAAATCCATTCAGATGGCTGAACTCACCAATCCCCCTGGCCAGAGTTCTGCACACCTGATTTGAAAGGTCCCAAGCCCTAGAGGACAGTGCTCAATATCCCACTGAGTCTAAAAAAAACAAACAGATACGTCTTGGAAAAAGTGCAGTCCGAGGGCTCCTAAGAAGCCTGGCGGTTGTACCTTCTACCTGACACCCAGCTACGGCCAGAAGGGAATTGGACACTGAACCTTGACCCATGACCGACCAGCTTCTGACTTCACTGGCCCGAGACAAAGGCAACGATGCCATGCTGGCACCAATGACAGAACCAGTCTCTGATCTGCGAAGGAGACCAGGTAACATTTGTCCCTTAAAACCTAGCTCAGCTGGAAGCACCGAGGAGCTCGCTGTCCAAACTAGCCATCGTGCCAGACCCTCTGCCCAGCTCCGGCCCATCACAGCCACCCCAGGTCCTGCGATGACAGCAGCACCCCGTGTCCTACCCCGTCTGAAGTCCCAGAGAGGCCCCGGGCCCGGCGTGGCCGGCGCGCTGACCACCAGCCTCGCGCAGCGACGCCCCAGCCCGCACTCGGCCTCCGTCCACCACCCGGGCTCGCGCGCCCCGCCGGCCCTGACCTTGCCGCAGCTCGGGGTCGTCCAGCACGTTGTAGGCCGCGTAGTCCTGGACGCCATGCAGCCGCAGGATCTGCACCACGGCGTTGCTGAAGCCGCACTGAGGTTGCTCCGGGGTCCCCTTAAGGAACACCACCACCTTGTCCTTCTTCACCAGTGCATCCAGCTGATCCGCCGATCGGCCGCCGCCGCCGCCCGAGCCCGCCGCCCGCGCGACCAGGGCCCACAGGCCGCCGCTGCCCGCACCGCGAGGCCAGCGGAGAAGAGACGCCGCCGCTCGGCCCAAGGACCCGCTCATCCCCGCTCGCTAGCCGCAGCCCTTGACAGCCCGGCCCTCGACTCAACCACCCAGGTGAGTCTGCCAATCATGCGCGCTCGCCCCGCCCCGGAAGAGCGGAGGTGGTCCTTACGGCGGTCATAATGCGCCTTTCTATTGGCTAGCTCCAGCCATTCTGTCACTTGATTGGAGAGACTGTATGCCAATCAGACCCAAGCACGGCAGCCAACGAGAGGCGCAACCCGAGGCAAGACGACTTCCTCCCCAGAGCAGCTGTGGCCTGCCGGGATACTCCTGGAGGCCTGGTGCTGGGCAGGGCTTCGCCTGTTCCGCGGGAAGCTGGGCAGGGGTCATTCCTAGAGGAAGCTTCCGGTTCCGGGGTGCCGCCCGTCTAGTTACTATAGGGACGAGGTGGCGGGCCTGGCGTGGTCCTTGCTGTGGCCGTGCTGGCGCGGCCTGGGAGGTCCAGGCCCGCTTTCCCAGCCGAGGTGAGTGGCTTCGGGCCCCGAGGGCTGAGGCTGAGGGCGGCCGTGCGTGGCGGGAGGCGGGATCGAGTCCCGGGGCTGGCGCGTCCTCACTTCCTCCAAACATCTGTCCCCGCCGGGTTTGTCAATCGCTGTCGCCCGCGTGGTAGCCGTCGGGTTCCGGGCCTCGGGGGACCTTCCAGCGCGGGGACGGGAACGAGGGGGCGAGTGGGGCCGGCGCGGAATCCCCGGGACGCGCGTGCCTGTCGGCATGGAAACCGCAGATGCGCCACGTGGGCGGCTTCCCGCGCTGTCGCCGGTGTCCCCGCCGTGCCGATCGCGGGTGTAGATGGCTTCACCTGTCCCGTGAGGGGTGTCGGGGCTCCGGGGCAGATCGATGAAGCCGGGACCTCGCCCCGATCTGTGGTCTGGGAAGCGCCCTGATGGCCAGTACCCTGGGCACTGCAGACTCGCAGAGAAAGCACGATCAGAGGACGCTGAGGCATGGCTGCCCCAAGGCCAGCAGTTCCATGTGCAATTCTCCTCTGACAGCGCCTGGGCACTGCTGCCACGGCGGTAATGGCCGGACCATGCCATTATCTATCCATCAGCAGTCAGAGAAGCTTCGCAGTCGAGATATTGTTCAGCAGACGGAGTGGTTTCTGCCGGACACTAAGTACTGCTACAGATTACCCTTGTGTTGAAAAGGGAAAATGTCGCTGGACCTTTTTCTGCTTTGGAGTGCTCAGATCGCAAAGCCGAAAACCGAAAAGGAATCATCTGCGTGTTTGTTCAGCTGAGCCTGGGGAAAGTCACCCTAGGACCTTTCTCACAGGTGTCATTCCATCCAGGTCAAGGAAACTGACTTCTCGTTTTTCTAACGCAGAGCCCAGCGTGGATCAGGCTGTTAAAAGAACTGCTTTGTTTTTTCAGATTCACTGATTGGAGCTGAGTGTCCTGGATGGTAAGGAAGTGTGAGTTCTCAAGTCCAGCCCCTTGTGTGCACAGCACAGTTAGACTAGATGCTGTGACTCCACACCTCTCCGCACTTGTATTTGGATATATAATGTTGGGAATTTTTTTCTTTGCTTTCTAATAAATACTGGTAATTTATACCCCAGAGCCTCTGTCTTTTCTTGCTCCCAGTGAGTTGTTCATTCTGCTTTTGTGTCACCTGGGAGAGGGAAGAGATTTGGGGAACTGGATTCTAAGTATCTGGAGACACAGCAGTAATGGGGAGCATCACCCCCTTTGCCGTGTGCATGGTGGGTATGTAGGTTCATTGTGACTCAGAATCAGCTTGATGGCCGGGACTTTGCGTTTGCATAGTGCCAACAGGTAACACGCTGAGCTAAAAATTGAAAGTTTAGAGATTCTGTAGAAGAAAGGCCTGGCAGTCTACAAAATCAGCACAGAAACCCTCCCCAGTTCTGCTCTGACACGCTGGGCTGCTGTGAGTCAAAGGCGACTCGCAGGTGAGTAGTTAAGACTTTGCTTGTACACAGTATTGACTTTAGAAATAACATTTCAGTTGTCAGATGCTTTGTTAAAGATGAGAAGACTGATGTTGTTGTTGTTATGTGCAGTCAAGTTGCTTGCGACTCATAGCGACCCTACAACAGCCCTAAACTCCACTCTGTCCTGTACCAATCGCACCATCTCCAAAACACCCATCCCAATTGCCCCAGTCACTGAATCAATCCACCTCACAGAGGGCCTTCCTCTCCTGCGCTGTCCCTCCAGGGATAAAAGTGCAGAGGACGGGCAAGGAGAGGACAGAAGGATGAGTGAAAAAGAGCACCACAGAGACGAAGTGGGAAGAGTGATGACACAGCGTGGGGCTCGCAAGCTTTGTTGTAAAGTATGGACTACTTGTTAGCAATGTGGGCTATGAACCCAATCTATGTGCTGTCACTCACACCACAATAAAAAGCTAGTGAGGGGCAAAGCTACTGGGTGTAGGAGGATATGGATGAAATGTTAAACATGTGTCTGCTCTCAATGCTGATTCAATTAGGGCTTCAGAGCCTGGAGGAAGCAAGAAATCAAATTATCTAGAGAAATAAACTAAAACTTTGGGGAAAGTTGGAAGGAAAGGGGGTCATAAACATCAGCCTTTTTCTGTATGATTTACCACTCTGGTTTTGAGAGTCCTATTCAGGCCCTGAAATGGAAAGGGAAGAAATAGATTCTTAAATAGTCCAGTGAGGCCTGCACTTATGCTGAGTGTGTGAAGATTTTTGGACACATAAATAAATATACTCTTGGTTTGTGATTTCTCCCTTGTGAACATGGGAGGGGAGAGTGAGGGAGTACATAGAACCCTGGGATTTGGGTCATGAAATTTAATTAAGCCCTAAGCTAAATCATGACATGGAAACATACTGACTCAGACATCCTATAAACATTTTTTTATTTTCTATTTCTGGAAAAGGCTTTATTGTGTTTGGTAACCAACTCCTCCAAAATGAAATTCACCGCAGTTTCTAGTGAGAAATGTGCTGGTTGGTGATGGCACCTTCCTGGGTGGCAGTCTTAGACGTTGGGGATGGTGGCAGCTTCCTGGATGCCTGTCCTAGATGGAGAAGAGTCAGGCTAGCACCTTGAGCCTCACCCCAGTCGTCCTTCCACACCCTGGCTTCACACCCAAGTCAGTGCTCTACTGTCTTTGTTGAAGACAAAGAAATGGGTAGTTGCTGTGCATTGAGAATGTGAGGTGAGGTGCTGAGTGTCTCTCTCTGCCCTCATCAGAACTTTCTATGTCATTTTAGGGGGGAAATGACCACTCAGATCATGGCTAGGGCCACCAAATGCCCTTGAACCAAGATCCAGGACCAGAGTCACACAGACCCTAGCTTGAGTCAACCTCTTTTCAGCAGTGCAGACACAGCCTGTTACTGGTAAGGTCCCTGCCCTCCTCAGCTGGATCCCTAACTACACTAAAAATAACCTCGTGGGAGAAACTAGGGCCTGGCCCAGCCTTCCCATTAAATGCAGTTAAGCCCTGACACAAAGAACTGCCTTCAAGATTCTGACCACCACTATCTGACAAGACAGCTGGCTTTGTAAATGCCTTCCCAGCGATGGGAGTGGTCCTAGCTCGCCTAATCACTGCTCCTCACATTCCTTCTCCCTAGAGGGGCAGGAATGCAGACCTCAGGCCTCAGGACGGGCACCAGCAGCTTATCCCATCCCTGCTCCTCTAACCCGCCCTCAGAAATGATAAGCTAAGAAATGGGGCCCTGCAGCTCCAGCTAGTTCAAGCACCAGCAGATAGGTGATGTGGAAGAAACTTGGGGGAAGGCTGCACACAGTCATACAAGCTGACTCTGTCCAGCAATGTAGGGACGTGGAAGGAGGTTTCAGTCTTTGGTGGCCTAGTGACGGGGAGGCAGTTCAGATCCACCAGCTGCTTCTCAGTTCTACATTCCTGAATTCTCTTTGGGAGATAAATGGGCAGTCTCCTCCCATGTGACAGCCAGCCTCTGAAAACCTGCAGGAGGCTCAGCTCTGAGTCACTTCCACATAATAGCAATGAGTTCGTTTAGGAGATGTGCTTAGTTCCTATCCAAAAGGTGGGAGATTGTAACCCATCAGCCACTACCCTGCAGGAGAAGGATGGGGCCACCTACTTAAAGATCACGGCTTTAGAAACCCCAGAGACAGCGCTGCCCTGCCCTACAGGACCACTGTGAGTCAGAACACCTTGATTGTAAGAGATTTAGTGTTTGGTAATGAATACCAAAAAAATGATACATCTTTCAAGGAAATGTCTTATGGACTCTAGGAAGTTCTGGTGGCCTAGTGTTAAGAACCTGCACTGTAATCCTGGAGGCATGCAGTTCAGATCTTACCAGCTGCCTGGCAGGAGAAGGATGGGCAGTCTCATCTGGTGCAGTTAACTGCCTCTGAAAACCCACTGGAGGGTCAGCTATGGGTCGGTTCTGACTCTGTGGTTGTTGCTGTTGTTATGTGCCGTCGAGTCGTTTTCGACTCACAGCGACCCTATGCACAACAGCCCTAAACCCTGCTCTATCCTGCGCCAACTGCACTGCCTTCAACACACCCATCCCGATTACCCCAGTCACCGAATCAATCCGTCTCATAGAGGGTCTTCCCCTCCTGCGCTGTCCCTCCACCCTCCCAAGCATGATGTCCCTCTCCAAGGACCCGTCCCTCCTGGCAACATGTCCAAAGTATGTCAGACGAAGCCCCAGAATCCTTGCCTCCAAGGAGTAGCCTGGTTTAATCCTCTCCAAGATGAATCTGTTTGTTTTCCTGGCAGTCCATGGTACATTCAGTACTCTTCTCCAGCACCACAGCTCAAAAGCATCCACTCTCCTTCTGTCCTCCCTAGTCATTGTCCAACTCTGTGGTACACAACAGTATTTATGCTCTATATGGATTGAAGCTCAGTTGGCAGCATCATGACAGACAGTGAAGAGATTGAGATTGTTGACAGCTTCCGTTTTCTTGTCTCCACAATCAACACTCTTGGTACCAGCAGCCAGGAAATCAAAAGATGAATTGCACTGGGAAAGTCGGCTGTCAAGAGTC